ATTTATTGATTTGCGTATGTTGAACCAACCTTGTATCCCAGGGATAAAGCCTACTTGATTGTGGTGGATTAGGTTTTTGATGTGCTGCTGAGTTCATTTTGCTGGTATTTTGTTGAGAATTTTTACGTCTATATTCATCAAGGATATTGGCCTGAAGTTTTCATTTTTGTGGTGTCTCTGCCAGGTTTTGGTATCAGGATGATGCTGGCCTCATTGAGTGAGTTAGGGAGGAGTCCCTCCTCCTCAACTTTTTGGAATAGTTTCAGTAGGAATGGTACCAGCTCTTAATACATCTGGCAGAATTTGGCTGTGATTCTGTCTGGTCCTGTGCTTTTTCTTCTTGTTGGGTTTTTATTACTGATTAAAATTTGCAACTCCTTATTGGTCTGGTCAGGGATTCAATTTCTTCCTGGTTCAATCTTGGGAGGTTGTATTTTCAGGAATTTATCCATTTCTTCTAGGTTTTCCAACTTGTGTGCATAGGAGTATTTACAGTAGTCTCTGAGGGATTTTTGTATTTCTGTGGGGTTAGTGGTTACCCTTTGTCATTGCTGATTGTGTTTATTTGGATCTTCTCTTTTTTCATTAGTCTGGCTATGTGGTCTATCTATCTCATTTATTCTTTCAAAGAACCAATTCTTGGATTCGCTGATCTTTTGTATGGTTTTTTTGCATCTCAATTTCCTTCATTTCAGCTCTGAATTTGGTTATTTCTTTCATTCTGCTAGCTTTGGGATTGGTTTGCCCTCATTTCCCTAGTTTCTCTACATGTGATGTTCGGTTGTTAATTTGAGATCTTTCTAACTTTTTGATTGGGCATTTTGCACCATAAGCTTCCCTCTTAACATTGCTTTAGCTGTGTCCCAGAGATTCTGTTATTTTGTATCTTTGTTCTCATTAGTTTCAAAGTATTTCTTGATTTCTGCTTTAATTTGATTGTTTACCAAAAAGTCAGTCAGGAGCAGTTTGTTCAATTTTCATGTAATGATATGGATTTGAACAATTTTCTTAGTATTGACTTCTATACTAATTGTGCTGTGGTTCAAGAATATGCTTGGTAAGATTTCAGGTTTTTTTTTTTTTTTTTTTTAATTTGCTGAGGATTGTTTTATGTCCAATTATGTGGCTGATTTTAGAGTATGTGCCATGGGCAAATGAGAAGAATGTATATTCTGTTATTCGTGGGTGGAGAGTTCTCTAGGTGTCTCTTAGGCCCGTATAGTTAGTGTTGAGCTCAGGTCCTGAAAAATCTTTTGTTAGTTTTCTGCCTTAATGATGTGTCTAATATTGTCAGTTGGGTGTTATTGTCTCCCACTATTATTTTGTGGTTATTTAAGTCTCTTCATAGGTCTCTAATAACTTGTTTAATGAATCTGCATGTGCTCCTGTGTTGAGAGCATATTTAGGATAGTTAGGTCTTCTTATTCCCATTACGTAATGCTCTTCTTTGTCTTTTTTGGTCTTCGTTTGTTTAAAGTGTTTTGTCTGAAATTAGAAGAGCAACCCCTGATTTTTTTTTTTGTTTGTTTTCTATTTGCTTGGTAGATTTTTCTCCATCCCTTTACTTTGAGTCTATGGATGTCATTGCAGGTGGGAAAGGTCTCTTGAAGACACTGTGTCATTGAGTTTTGCTTCTTTATCCAAATTCCCACTCCATGCCTTTTAACTGGGGCATTTAGCCCATTTACATTCAAGTTTAATATTGATATGTGTGGATTTAATCCTCTCATTTTGTTGTTAACTGGTTATTTTGTGGACTTGCTTGTGCAGTTGCTTAGTAGTGTCAATGGTCTGTGTACCTAAGTGTGATTTTGTAGTGGATGGTAATGGTCTATCTTTTCCACATTTAGCACTCTCTTCAGGACCTCTTATAAGGTAGGCCTGGTGGTAATAAATTCCCTTAGCGTTTGCTTGTCTGAAAAAGTTCTTAATTCTCCTTCACTTATGAAGCTTGGTTTGGCTGGGTATAAAATTATTCATTGGAATTTCTTTTCTTTAAGAGTGCTGAATATAGGCCCCAATATCTTCTGGCTTGTAGGTTTTCTGCTGAAAGGTCCACTGTTAGCCTGATGAGATTCCCTTTGTAGGTGACCTGCCCCTTCTCTCTAGCTGCCTTGAAAGTCTTTTATTTTGACCTTTGAGAATTGGATGATTATGTGTCTTGGGGATGGTTACTTAGTCCAACAAAAATAAAGAAAAAGATTAGGCTAGGCATGGTGGCTCACACCTGTAATTTCAGCACTTTGGGAGGATGAGGCAAGAGGATCACCTGAACCTAGGAGTTCAAGACCCGCCTGGGCGGGGCGCGGTGGCTCACGCCTGTAATCCCAGCACTTTGGGAGGTGGAGCAGGCAGATCATGAGGTCAAGGGATAGGGACCATCCTGGCCAACATGGTGAAACCCTGTCTCTACTAAAAATATAAAATTAGCTGGGCGTGGTGGCGCACACCTGTAGTCCCTGCCACTCAGGAGGCTGAGACAGGAGAATCTCGTCAGCCTGAGAGGTGGAGGTTGCAGTGAGCTGAGATTGCACCACTGCACTCCAGCCTGGTGACAGAGTAAGACTCCATCTCAAAAAATAAATAAATAAAAATAAAAATAAATAAATAAAAGACTAGTCTGGGCAAGATGGTGAGACCTCACCTCAACAATAACAAAAAATTAGCCAGGCATGGTGTTGTGCACCTGTAGTTCCAGCTATCAATGAATCCCCTGGTTCAGGACCATGGAATATCATACTCGTTGACAATGAGAAATCATTCCCCATTTACCTGAAGACAACCTAAAGCTCTTTGATTTTAGTATGTCTCTCAGAATTAGCTCGATTGATGACCAAGATGAATTTTCCCACCAAACTGCTGAGAAGTGAAATCAGAGTTAGGATAAACTTCATTCAAATAACATTGACAAGTTTTCAGACTTTGAGACACAGGGCTAATTGCCTAATGTTGGTGAGCTAGAGCAAGCTGCTGCTTCTACTTTTTTTTTTTTTTTTTTTTTTAAATGTAGAGAACAAAATTCAAAATCCCCATGATACTATAGTCATTCATCTTTCCTCTAGAGTAAGGGCTATAGACTCTAAGGTTCTTCTGGATTTCTGCTACTACTGCTGTCTTCATAGCTAGTTCAGTGCCTTCTAACAATGCCTTCTGCACAGGACTGCTGAGGGACTAAGTGGCAAACTGTGCCTGACCCATGGTTAACATTCAATAAATGGGGCACACTACCATTTGCCCTCATAACGTTGAAAGAAGTAATGCTTATTTCTCATAATGGTTAATGCTAAAGTACATCCAAATGTTTATTTATGACAAATGTTTTAGGAGCCAAAATGTTTATCAGGAAAAGCTGTCACTATATTTGGGCCTCGATTATCTTACTAAAGTTTGCTAAAGGCTTTTTCCTAGTCTACTTCACTGGCGGGTGGCTAGCAGTCTGGAACAAGTATAATTTAAACAGAAGAATAAACAATTAAATCTATTTCAAAGTGAGTTAGAAGCTGAGTGTAACAGGCTCTCCACTTTCTAGTGTCATTTCTGTTACCAGGATAGGTGTTTTAATCTAGAAATTCTGTGGATATTCAACCCTAGAGTGGTAGTAGAGTATAGCTGATGTATGGAGAGGAATCTAAGTTATATTATTCAAATATAATGTTTGGGAAACAAGAATTTTTGACCCATATGTATTTACACAAACTAAATGCAAACTGTAGTCCAACAGCAATGGTATTTTGATTCTCTGAGTTAGAAGGTAATTGATGGGAAAGAGGGAGAAATTTACATAGAAATCCTGCTTTCTGAGAAATTATCTTTTTTGTTACAGAATCCATAACATAAGCTTCCTTAAACATATTACCATATGACCCTTATAATTTCTGATGACACTGATGATATTACTTAACTTGTTGAATGGGCTAATTGATGTAAGTTAAGTGTTTAGGACAGTAACTGACATATGTTGAATAAATATTAGTTTCTGCTTAAAATCTGGATCAAAATCTCTCTCCAAAAATTTTCTGAACCTAATGTAGCTCATTTGCTACATTTAACAGGATGTTAAAGGATTCTGCCTTATGTTTTTTCTAAATATGAACTTTCTGATAAAAGGATTAAAGTTCTTCATGTGTTATGTGTTTGACGTAGCCTTTTTTTTTTTTTTTTTTTTTTTTTTGAGATGGAGTCTTGTTCTGTTGCCCAGACTGGAGTGCAGTGGCACAATCTTGGCTCACTGCAACCTCCGCCTCCGGATTCAAATGATTCTCCTGGCACAACCTCCTGAGTAGCTGGGATTACAAGCACCTGCCACCACGCCCAGCTAATTTATTTATTTATTTATTTTTTTATTATTTTTTATTTTTTTGAGACTGAGTCTCCCTCTGTCTCCAGGCTGGAGTGCAATGGCACCATTTCGGCTCACTGCAACGTCCACCTCCTGGGTTCAAGCGATTCTCCTGCCTCAGCCTCCTGAGTAGCTGGGACTGCAAGCGCCCACCACCACACCCAGCTAATGTTTGTGGATTTTCAGTAGAAACGGGGTTTCACCATGTTGGCCAGGATGGTCTCAATTTCCTGACCCCGTGATCTGCCCACCTCGGCCTCTCAAAGTGCTGGGACTATAGGCGTGAGCCACCGCGCCTGGCCTACACCCAGCTAATTTTTGTATTTTTAGTAGAGATGGGGTTTCACCATGTTGGCCAGGCTGGTCTCAAACTCCTGACCTCGTGATCCACCCACCTCGACCTCTCAAAGTGCTGGGACGCAGGCGTGAGCCACTGTACCCAGATGTGTTTGATATAGTCTTGAAAATATTTTTCTTTAGTAGAAGAAACCTAACCTACTAAATTTTAAAATTTATAGATCTGATCTTATAGTCCCATCTCAGTGAGCCTCACATCCAAGAAATTTCCAGTTTTTAAAAAAAGATTACACAATTTGTTTTCCTTTAATTTGAAGGTTAAGTTATGTTCTGTTTAGGAACAAAAATACGAAAACACAAAAAGTTTAAGTGTGATCCATTTATTATTGCTGCCATTTGTGGATACATTCTCTCAATTCTCCTTAAATCCCAATGATGCTTTTATACTTGCAACATGTGTATCCACCTCTAGCTTCCCTGTGCAGAAATGTCTGGCATTGGAATGTGAGGTATCTCTCAGGAAACAGAGTGGTAATGGGTAGGATGAAACTTACCCATTGAGAGCTCATGATATTCATTGTGAAATGCCACTAGATATAGTCCTTCATTATATTTAGAGAGCTTGAAGTTTCTGATTTTATGTAGAACAGAAAAAGAAACACAAATCCCACAAAATTTAAGTGCAATCAAAAATAAAAATAAATATTAAATAAACAGTTATGGTAGAAATTTTGCAAAGCCTTCAGGTGAGCCACAAATAGTCTTAGAAATTATTTTAATAAAGTCATTTTGGTTCTTTTTCTTCATTTTCCTTAAAGTCACCTCTAAAGGTATTTCTCGGTTTATATCATATGTAATCAGCTTTTAGCTAAAGAACAAGTGGTAGTAAATGAAGACTGCCAAAGCCTCAAAGGTGATATTGGAGAAATGGGGATAATTAGAAAAAACAAAAGTTCAAACATTAAAATTCTGACACTATTAGATGAATCAACCTAAACTTGGTAAATCAGTTTTCAGAAAACTAGGCACTTATTGCGCTTTCATTTTATATCCAATAACTGCATCAAACTTAATATTGATTTTTCTTTTTAAAACTGCCAGGAAGCGCTCCGGAAGGATCCTAAAAGAAAAATATATGAAAATAATTAGAAAATTAATATTAAGTGCATTTGTAGAATACCCTCTTTAGAAATACTTTAAAGTTATCATGTATCATCGTGTTCATCTTACATAAGATTAAGCACCTTAAATCTGAGTCACTACTATATATTCTTTCTCATTAAATCTATTTCGTTTTCAAATGGAAAAGAAGGCTTAGCCTTCTTTAGAGTAGAATAACCTGAAGTAGTCAGTTTTTGAAACAAAAGATCTAAGAGAGGAGGTATACGAACTGAATAGTTGAGATACTAAAGACTTTACAAAAAGAAACCCAACATTAAAAAGGAAATGAGAATAGGAACTAATTTTATACTTTATAATGCAGAATATTATTAAAATGTTCCACTAAGAGACTGGGGAAGTAGAACTGCTAAATAAAAATGCAGACAATGCATTTGGTTTTGAGCATAATGCTGAACCACTTATTTAACCTTTTAGTTTAAATTCCTCACGTGTAAATGGAAAAATTAACACTTATCCCTCAGTGTTCTTTTGTGGAATCAATGTGTTACTATATTAAATAAAACGTCTTGGCCGGGTGCGGTGGGTCACGCCTGTAATCCTAGCACTTTGGGAGGCCGAGGCGGGTGGATCACCAGGTCAGGAGATCGAGATCATCCTGGCTAACATGGTGAAACCCCGTCTCTACTAAAAATACAAAAATTAGCCAGGCATGGTGGCAGGTACCTGTAGTCCCAGCTACTCAGGAGACTAAGGCAGGATAATTGCTTGAACCTGAGAGGAGGAGGCTGCAGTGAGCCGAGATCGAGCCACTGCACTACAGCCTGGGCAACAGAGTGAGACTCCATCCCCCACCCCCTCCAAAAAAAATAAAATGTCTTAAACGGTGACAGACACTAGCAGGTCTCATCTTTTTTCTCCAGACACTACACTTAGAACATTTAGGGACTTGTCACATTCCAGTGGGTCTGGGAGAAAATAAAACAGAATATATAAATCAACATAATAATATACAGAAATCTGCCTAGATGGCATGAAAAAAGGGTTTGGAAATATGACACCAATGTGACCTCGTAACAAGAATTAGGGCAATGATAATAATAATAGTAGTTATAATAACAGTGGCATATAACATTTATTGAGTACTTACAGTGTTCTGAGTACTTTTTATTTTATTTTTTTGAGATAGGGTCTTGGCTTGCTCTGTTACTCAAGAGGGAGTGCAGTGGCATGATCATGGTTCACTGCAGCCTCGACTTCCTGGGCTCAGGCAATTCTCCCACTTCAGCCTCCCAAGTAGCTGGTACTACAAGTGTGTTCCAACATGCCTGGCTAATGTTTTTGATTTCTAGTAGAGACAAGGTCTTATTATGTTTCCCAGGCTTGTCTTGAACTCCTGACCTCAAGCGTTCCTCCTGCCTTAGCCTCTCAAAGTGCTGGGATTATAGACGTGAGCCACCGCACCCAGCACTGAGTACTTTAAGAGCATTATTTTATTTATTCATCTCAGCCCTATACAGTCCAATTGTTTTCTCTATGTTACAGATAAAGAAACTGAACTTCAGATAAGTTAAAAATAACTCATCCATGTTCATGTTGCAAGCAAGTCACACAAACACATTCAACTCCAGAGCTTCATTCAACTCCAGAGCACAAACTTTGAGTCTTTATGTTTAAAGGTCTAGAAACTAGAATTAATTTATTCAATCAACAAACATTTTAGTGTCAGGCACTCTTCAAAATGCAAAGCATACAGTGATGAAAAATAGGCAAAATGCCTTCTTTCACAGGGTTATATTCTAAAGCGCTGTGTTAAGATTTTAACATGGATGCTTGAGTTGGACCAGAAATCTGTATTTTAATAGACAGCTGCCACAGACAGTGGTCCAGAGCCTCTAATTGAGAATTACTGATGCGAAGAGCAAAAAACTCAAGAGATGAAAAGCGTGACATATGTTAAGCTTTCTCGCCCTTTCTGCTAAAAACTATGATGAACATGCCTTGGAGGTTTAGGTAGTAAAGCTCAAGGATCTCTTTGGTGAGTAAACAGGTTAAAACCTATGATGTTTCTGGCACTATACTTGTCACGTTACATAAGTATGCACTCAGTGATCACTTCCCAAGTACTTATGATATCCCACTGACTTGGAGAAGCCCAGTCTAGGACAGGCAGCAAGAGGCTTTTTCTCCCAGCTGTCCTAAGGCACCTCTCTCCTTTCCCCTCCTTATGTGGCCAGCCTCACTGCCACACAGTTTTCCCAGATGAGGAATGAAGCAGTGTGTTATGATGAAACCAGTGAAACCAGTGGTTTCCAATCTTGGCTGAATAACTGAATCACCTAGAAAGTTGTTTTATCTCTCAAAGCCCAAGCCACACTCTAAACCAAGTCAATCAGAATTTAGGGGAGTTGGTCTCAGGCACCGGCATTTCTTAAACCTCCCAGGTGAATTCCAGTGTGCACCCAAGTTGAGAGTTACTGCTCCAAAGAAGTGCTGCTCAAATTTTAATAGGCATACAAATCGTCTAGGAGAACTTATTGAGATGCAAATTCTGATTCAAGAGATGAGGAGAGTCTATATTTCTAACAAAGTTCCAGGTAATACTGATGCTGCTAGTCCAAGAACCACATTGGAAGAAGCAAGGCTCAAGAATTTCTAATATTATAAAAAAAAAAAAAAGCAATTCATATACGTCAGTCTGATTTTGCACAAAACAAAAGCTCAATGATTATCTGTTGCATCTTTAAATAAATACGTAAAACCTAAATCTGGTCTCCTTTAATCATTGTTCTATGATTCCATTATGTAAAGATGCTGAAAAACTATCCTTCTTCAGAGTCATTCATTTATAAGACAAGACTTACAGAAATACACAAATTTCTTTCTTTACAAAAAGTAAAAATGTGTGGAAATTCCAGTTCATTCACCCAGGAGCTGTATCAGTCTTGCCTCAATGATTAACACACGTGGTTTAAAAAAACTGATGACATCTTTATTCAGCCTGCTATTTTTATTAAGTCAATTCCATTTAACTGTACTTTATCAACTGCCTGATTTTAAATGTCAGCAAAAAATGTAATAGATAATTTTTATTTTACCTTTTTTCATTTCTAAGGCTGAAAAACGTAACTGTCACTTACCTTTCCAATATTGTTAAAAAAGCTATAGAAGATGGAATAAAAATCATTTTCTGCTCAGTCAGAATCCCATTCATCAGCCTGTTTACCACTTCCTCAGGTTCCAGAGCGGGTCCTAAACTGAAATCAGAGGCAGTCTTCAGAAACAAAATACTTCACCATGGCTTCAGCTTTAGTTTGGTGCTAACAAACAGCTTTAGTATGGCACAGACACCATAACATAACTGATTTGTAGTGTCTAGCCTAGTAAAGGTGCTCAGAAATAGCAGCTACTTTACCATTGATAATAACAATCATTCACTTAGTGCTTATCGTGTACCACAAACTGCTAAACTTTCTACATAGGTCATTCCATTGAAGTCTGACAATAACCTTACGAAGGTAATATTATAATTCCTATTCTATGTGGGGAAAAGAAAGAAAGATCAGACTGCTACTGGGTCTATATAGAAAGAAGTAGACACAAAAGACTCCATTTTGTTCTGTATTTGAGATGCTGTTAATCTGTAACCCTACCCCTAACCCTGACCTTGCAAGAGACATGTGCTGTGGTGACTCAAGGTTTAATGGATTTGGGGCTGTGCAGGGTGTGCTTTGTTAAACAAGTGCCTGAAGGCAGCTTGCTGGTTAAAGTCATCACCATTCTCTTAATCTCAAGTACCCAGGGACACATGCAGGGGGAAGGTCACCTCTGCCTAGGAAAGCTAGGTATTGTTCAAGGTTTCTCCCCATGTGATAGTCTGAAATATGGCCTTGTGGGAAGGGAAAGACCTGATCGTCCCCCAGCCTGACACTCATGAAGGGTCTGTGCCGAGGAGGACTAGTATAAGAGGAAAGAACGTCTCTTGGCAGTTGAGATAGAGAAAAGCATCTGTCTCTTGCCCGTCCCTGGGCAATGGAACATCTCAGTGTAAAACTCGATTGTATGTTCTATTTACTGAGAAAGGAGAAAACCGCCTTAGGGCTGAAGGTGGGACGTGCTAGTGACAATGCTGCTTTTTATGCACTAAAAAGGTTTATGGAGATGTCTGCATATGCACATCAAGGCACAGCACTTTTCCTTAAACTTATTCACGTCACAGAGCTCTTCATTTATGTCTTTCTGCTGACCTTCTCCCTACGATGATCCTATTATCCTGCCACTTCCTTTTTTTTTTGTGCAGTGGCCGGATCTCAGCTCACTGCAAGCTCCGCCTCCTGGGTTCACGCCATTCTCTTGCCTCAGCCTCCCGAGTAGCTGGGACTACAGGTGTCCGCCACCTCACCCGGCAAGTTTTTTGTATTTTTTTTAGTAGAGATGGGGTTTCACCGTGTTAGCCAGGATGGTCTTGATCTCCTGACCTTGTGATCCGCCCGTCTCGGCCTCCCAAAGTGCTGGGATTACAGGCTTGAGTCACTGCGCCCGGCTGCCACTTCCCTTTTCTAAGATGTTAAAGATAATGAGCAATAAATACTGAGGGAACTCAGAGACTGTTGCCAGTGCAGGTCCTCTGTATGCTGAGCGACGGTCCCCTGGGCCCGCTTTTTCTTTCTCTATACTTTGCCTCTGTGCCTCATTTCTTTTCTCAAGTCTCTCCTTCCACCTAATGAGAAACGCCCACAGGTGTGGAGGGGCAGGCCACCCCTTCATCTGGTGCCCAACGTGGGTGCTTTTCTCTGGGGTGAAGGTACGCTCAAGAGTGGTCATTGAGGAAAAGTCAACGAGAGACTCCTGAGTATGTCTACAGTCAGCCTTGAGGTAAGCTTGTGCGCTCAGAAGAACCTAGGGTAACAATGGGGCAAACCAAAAGTAAATACACCTCTTATTGCAGCTTTATTAAAATTCTCTTAAAAAGAGGGGGAGTTAAAGTCTCTACCAAAAATCTAATTACACTATTTCAAACAATGGAACAATTTTGCCCATGGTTTCCAGAACAGGGAACTTGAGATCTAAAAGACTGGGAAAAAATTGGCAAAGAATTAAAGCAAGCAAGCAGGGAAGGTAAAATCATCCCACTTACAGTATGGAATGATTGGGTCATTATTAAAGTAGCTTTAGAACCGTTTCAAACAGAAGAAGATAGCGTTTCAGTTTCTTATGTCCCTGAAAGCTGTGCAGTAGATTGTCAAAAAGAGGCAGGGATAGAATCCCAGAAAGGAACAGAAAGTTCACATTGTAAATGTGTAGCAGAGCCGGTAATGGCTTGGTCAATGCAAAATGTTGACGATAATCAATTACAGGAGGTGATATATCCTGAAACGTTAAAATTAGAAGAAAAAGGTCCAGAATTAGCAGAGCCATCAGAGTCTAAACCACAATGGCCAACTCCTCTTACAGCAGCTTAGATGCCTGTAACTTTACAACCTCAAATGCACGTTAAACAAGTACAAACACCAAAAGAAGATCAAATAGAAAAAGATAGAGTCTCTGTCATGGCAATGCCAATCCAAATACAATGTCCACAATATCAGCTGGTAGAAAATAAGACCCGGCCACCAGTAGCCTATCAATACTGGCCGCCAGCCGAACTTCAGTATCGGCTGTCCCCAGAAAATCCGTACGGACAGCCAGGAATGCTTCCAGCGCCACAGGGCAGGGCGCTATAGCCTCAACCGCCCACCATGAGACTTAATCCTACAGCACCGCCTAGTGGACAGGGTAGTGCACTACATAAAATTATTGATGAGGCAAGAAAACAAGGAGATATTGAAGCGTGGCAATTCCCAGTAATATTAGAAACAAGACCATCTGGAGTAGGGGCCCAAGAGGGAGAGCCTCCCGTAGCTGAAGCCAGATATGAGTCCTTTTCTATAAAAATGCTAAAAGAAATGAAAGAGGGAGTAAAACGGTATGGACCCAACTCTCCTTACGTGAGAACATTATTAGATTCCATTGCTCATGGACACAGACTCATTCCTTATGATTGGGAGATTCTGGCAAAGTCATCACTCTCACCCTCTCAATTTTTACAATTTAAGACTCGGTGGACTGATGGGGCACAAGAACAGGTCCGAAGACATAGGACTGCCAATCCTCCAATTAACATAGACGTAGATCAACTATTGGGAACAGGTCAAAATTGGAGCACTGCTAGTCAACAAGTAATAATGCCAAATGAGGCCATTGAGCAAATTAGGGCTATCTGCCTTAGGGCCTGGGAGAAAATCCAAGACCCAGGAACCGCCTGCCCCTTGTTCAATACAGTAAGACAAGGCTCTAAAGAGCCCTATCCTGATTTTGTAGCAAGGCTTCAAGATGCTGCTCAAAAGTCAATTACCGATGAGAATGCCCATAAGGTCATAGTGGAGTTAATGACATATGAAAATGCCAATCAGCCATTAAGCCATTAAAAGGAAGCGTCCCGGCAGGATCAGATGTACTCTCAGAGTACCTTAAAGCCTATGATGGAATTGCAGGAGCTATGCATAAAGCTATGCTATGGCTCAAGCAATCACAGGAGTTGCTTTAGGAGGACAAGTTAGAACATTTGGGGGAAAATGTTATAACTGTGGTCAAATCGGTCATTTAAAAAAGAATTGCCTAGTCTCAGATAAACAAAATGTAACTACTCAAGCTACTACAACAACAGATAAAGAGCCACCTGGCCTATGTCCAAGATGTAAAAAGGGAAAACATTGGGGTCATCAATGTCATTCTAAATTTGATAAAAATGGGCAACCACTGTCGGAAACGAGAGGAGGGGCAAGCCTCAGGCCCCGCAACAAACTGGGGCATTCCCAATTCAGCCCTTTGTTCCTCAGGGTTTTCAGGAACAACAACCCCCACTGTCACAAGTGTCTCAGGGAATAAGCCAGTTATCACAATACAGCAGTTATCCCCCGCCACAAGCGGCAGTGCAGCAGTAGATTTATTCACCATACAAGCAGTCTCTCTGCTTCCAGGGGAGCCCCCACAGAAAATCCCCACAGGGGTATACGGCCCATTGCCTGAGGGGACTGTAGGACGAATCTTAGGAAGATCAAGTTTAAATCTAAAGGGAGTTCAAATTCATACTGGTGTGGCTGATTCAGACTATAAAGGCGAAATTCAATTGGTTATTAGTTCCTCAATTCCTTGGAATGCCAGTCCAGGAGACAGGATTGCTCAATTATTACTCCTACCTTATGTTAGAGTTGGAAACAGTGAAGTAAAAAGAACAGGAGGGTTTGGAAGCACTGATCCGGCAGGAAAGGCAAGTCTCTGAGAGCAGACCTGTCTTGGCCTTGAGTAAGGCCATTACTCAAGGAAAACAGTTTGAAGGGTTGGTAGACACTGGAGCAGATATCTCTGTCATTGCTTTAAATCAGTGGCGAAAAAATTGGCCTAAACAAAAGGCTGTTACAAGACTTGTTGGCGTAGGCACAGCTTCAGAAGTGTATCAAAGTACTATGATTTTACATCGTTTAGGGCCAGGTAATCAAGAAAGTACTGTTCAGCCAGTGATTACTTCTATTCCTGTTAATCTATGGGGTCGAGATTTATTACAACAATGAGGTGCAGAAATCATTATGCCAGCTCCATTATACAGCCCCATGAGTCAAAAAATCATGACTAAGATGGGATATATACCAGGAAAAGGATTGGGAAAAAATGAAAATGGCATTAAAGTCCCAATTGGGACTGAGGAAAATCAAGAAAGAAAAGGAATAGGGTATCCTTTTTAGGGGTGGCCACTGTAGAGCCTCCTAAACCCATTCCATCAACCTGGAAAACAGAAAAACAAGTATGGGTAAATCAGTGGCCGCTACCGAAACAAAAATTGGAGGCTTTACATTTATTAGCAAAGGAACAGTCAGAAAAGGGACACACTGAGGCATCATTTTCGCCCTGGAATTCTCCTGTATTTGTAATTCAGAAAAAATCAGGCAGATGGCGTATGTTAACCGACTTAAGAGCCATAAATGCTGTAATTCAACCCATGGGGCCTCTTCAACCCGGATTGCCCTCCCCAGCCACGATTCCAAAAGACTGGCCTTTAATTCTAATTGATCTGAAGGACTGCTTTTTTACCATTCCTCTGGCAGAGCAGGATTGTGAAAAATTTGCTTTTACTATACCAGCCGTAAATAATAAAGAACCAGCCACCAGGTTTCAGTGGAAAGTGTTACCTCGGGGAATGCTTAATAGTCCAACTATTTGT